TGTGGTGCTGGGGATTGAACCGCGGTCCCTGTGCTTTGCTAAGCTTGTTCTAAGTAGGTGCTTTAGACCACTGAGCCATCTCACCAGCCCAAAAAAGGTTGTTTTTGAAGTCCTGTTTTGCTGAATGTGGTGGTGCATGCCTATAATCCCAGAATCTTAAGGCTGAGGCAAAAGAATCATTGCAATTCTTTTTTCTTTTTGGTGGAACCTGGGATTGAACTCACGCCCTTGTACTTGCCAGGGAAGCACTTATTCCACTGAGCCATCTCCCCAGCCCCAATCATTGCAATTCAAGACCAGCCTGGGCTACAAAGTGAGCTCAAGGCCAACCTGAACTGCATAGTGAGAGCCTGCCTCAAAAAAAGACATAAATAAATAAGTGAATGAATGAATGAATGAATGAATAAAAATAAAGCCCTGGGCATGTAGCTCAGTAGCAGAGACCTTTCCCTGGCATTTGTGAAGCGCTGGGTTCAATCCCCAGCTGTCACAGTATATGTCCAGGAAACCTCCAAAGCCTCACAAGTGTAGAGACTTTGTGTTAGGCGGTGTGCTTAGGTGCGAAGAGTGGGTCACTGTGGGCCGACCTAGAAGGCTGTGTGTGTCTTCCCCCAGCTCCTCCCTTAGCGCTACGCTTGCTGGATGCTGCGAGATGAACAGCTCTTCTGTGCCAGTCCTACCTTGAGACCCCTGCACCATAAGCCAAAATAAACTTCTCCTCCTTGATGTTCCCTGTGTTGGATATTTTGTTCCAGGGACAAGTAAAATAAGAAACCAGCAGAGCAGAACAACAGCAATAACAAAAATACAGCAATCATGAAAGACCCTTATAAACTGATGCTACCACACTACCTGGTATATTAATCCCTGGTATTGCAAGAAAAAAAAAATCCCACTTTGGGCCTGGGGAGATAGCTCAGTAGAATAAGTGCTTACCTGGCAAGCACAGGGTCCTGAGTTCAATCCCTGGTACTGAAAAAAAAAAAATCCCACAGTATATGGTATAAATGAAAAACCTGACAATCAGTTAGTACTCTCATCTGTAGCCCATAACGGATCCCAGCTGGTTCTGAACAATGGAATCCATTTATGTGAACTACTGACCCAACAAGGCCATGCTTAGTACCAACTACTTAGAGGAAAGAATCATTGGAGCTGGGTTCATTGGTGTATGTGTGCGTATGATCCTAGCTACTCCGGACGTTGAAGCCAGAGTACTTCAAATTTGAGGTCAGCTTGGGCAAGTTAGCAAGACCCTGCCTCATATTAAAAAATAAAAAGGACCGGGGATATAGCTAGGTGGTAGAGCACGTCTGGGTTTCCTTCTCCATACAAGGGGTTCTGGGTGTGTGGGGGGATATTAAATATTTAGGTGAAAACCAAGCACCAAACAGCAAGAAGCTTCAAGACGCCTGTGTGTCTGCTTCTGCCCCACTTGCTTTTGTATGCAGCCTGGAGCCCCCGAAGTCCTCTACAGGGGTGCAAGTGTCACAAACAAGTGCTTGAGAAGGTACTAAAATGTTTTGCTGTATTTAGAATGTAGCCTATGTGTAAGTAACTTTTTCTTCAATTGGCTCCCATGCAAAAAACTATTGGCACAGGCTGTTTATTGTGATGAGTTACAGCAGTTGAAAGAGGGAGGGGAGCGAGTTTGTTGCTTCTGTTTCCTCCGCAGACGCAGCTCTGGGAGTGCGCTGTGCCCGCTGAAGCGAAGTCCTTCAGGGGCAGACATCCTGGCAAAATCCGTCTCAAGTCTTAACCTGAGTCCTCATGGGTTTCTGTTTGCTAAATTAAAGAAATTATGGCAAGAAAATTACTTAGGCTAGCTTGAATAATGGTACTGCTGATCTCTGCTGGTTTGTTGAAAGGAGTGGTTAATGCTTGTATATTTTTCTTTTTCTCTTTCCTTTTTAATTTTTCATAATTTTTTGGCCAAGTTTGTATGCTTATGTCTGGTAATCTGAACAACTAATTTGAACACAATAATGTGCAATATTAAAAAAATCATTGTTGAATTTCTATCATTTTTGTTTAGTGAAATTCTGTATTGTTTCTAATGTTTTTGTTTTTACAAGTTTTTATTCTCTTTAAAAAGAAAAAGAAAGTGGGAGCAGTAGCACATGCCTGTCATCTCAGCCACTCAAGAGACAGAGGTAGGAGGGTCACAAATCTAAGCCTGGTTTAGGCAGTTTAGCAATTTAGGGAGGCCTGGGGCTGTAGCTCAGTAATAGGTGCTGTGTTCACTTTCCAGTACTGGGGGAAACAAAAAGGAGCTGGAAAGACAGGTGATGGAGACCCAGAGAGGAAAGGGCCCCACACTCGCAGTCCCTGGTCTGGGCCTCATAGTTGGCATCTTTTTTTGTTTGTTTGTTTTGTTTTTTTAATAATGTATTTAGTACATGGTCAAATGTCAACAGGGTCTCACTACACAGATCGGACTTCCTGTTTTCAGCCTTGCAAGCGCTGGGATTACAGGCACATCACCACTCCCAATCTCAGTTGCCATCTCAGCACACCCTGAGGGCGGGGCCCGCACAACATGGAGACGGAACCCTGGTCCCTGCACCTGCCTATGCAGGCGCTTTAGTCTGCTGAGCTCTTTGGCTGGCCCTGTGGTTGGCATCTTTTGGAAGGCTGAGGAGCCGTAGCCTGAAGACCTGGCTGGGAAGCTGGGCTGAACAGCAGGAACTGGGAGTGCGGTTGAGCAGCCTGAGTCGAGGGCCAGCTTCACAAACAGCTGCTGGGAGGAGAGTAGCTGGAAGGTGCCCGAATCTGTGGCATGGGAGGCCCAGAGCTGAAACACCGTTGTCTCATGGCCAGGCCTGGCATGAACCAAGCTTCCTAGTCAGCTAAATCCATTGGTTTTTCCAAATTATTAGTCTGGTGTGCCCCCTCCTCCACAAAGGTTTTTCTAATCTCCCAAGAGAAAGAATTTTCATCCCCTTTTGAATGTGAGGTGATGCTTTTCTCATTCTTCCAGCATGCCCTGTATTTTGCCTTTCTCTCTCTCTCTCTCTCTCTCTCTCTCTCTCTCTCTCTCTCTCTCTCTCTCT